TTATGGATTATTATTTGTAATATTTAGATGAAATCGTGAAGATATTACTCAGTTGTTCATATTCTTGTACTTGGACATTATTCGTTTCCATGGCAACATTCATAACTCCAAAATAGAATCATGTGTTTGTCGATGATGACAGTAAAATTCATGACTACTTTAACTCACCTCTCTAAGTTCTTAAAGTACAGAAGGTTAAGGTTTCTGTACTAAACTGACTCAAACTCAAATATTAAAAATGTGAATTTTTTTTATTATTTTTAATTTATATTCTTATTTTTAATTTATATATTACTTTAAATTTATGCTTTTTTTTAAATTGAACTTAATTTATGTAATTTAAATTAATTGAATTGACGGTCTGGTCCGGATTGGATGGGGATGGATTGAACCGTGACTCTTTTTTTTATTTTATTTTATTTTTATTTTTATTTTTATTTTTATTTTTATTTTATTTTATTTTATTTTATATTGTATTATATTATATTATATTATATTATATTATTTTATATTTTTATTTTATTACTTTACTTTACTTTACTTTACTTTATTTAATTTCATATTATATTATTTTACTTTATTTTACTTTATTTTATTTTATATTATATTATATTATATTATTTTATATTATTATTTTTTTATTTTATTTTATTTTACTCAAACTGTTATGTTTTTTGTTTAATTTAATTTTATATTTTATTTTACTTTACTTTATATTATATAAATATAATAAAAATGTGTGAAGAAGAACAAATCTATCTTAAAAACCACTGAATTATCCGTTCAGCTCCTATCCAAAGTGACTTATAAATGGTCAACTCAATACGAGCTACTAATCTGGAGGAGAATGGCATTAGAGGAGCTGAAGTACGGCGTCTGAGGAACCCACTGAGGGCCTCTCGAGTCCACATGAAAAGCTCTTGTTATCGGTCAGGGCTCAGGAGTCGAGAGCCATCCACGCTGGAATGAGACTTCATTAGGTCTTATCGCTGCGCCGCACATTGGCTCTTATCTGAAGAACTGAAGCAAGCAAACAGACTGAGAATATCCTCCTCACACTTACACTCACTGAACGTCATGAGGTTTTACAGTCTGTCTGTCTAAAGAATCATCTGCACTGACTAGGATCAAATCAGTTCACCGACGTGATTTAAACTACATTTAAAAAATAATAATACATAAAAAATAAATAGTTTTTAGGAATATTTTGAAGTTTTAGTAATTTTGTTGTTTGTCATTTTTATGTCTATATAATTTTAATCTTTTATTATTTTTATATATGTTTTTACTACTTTTTATTTTAGTTTTAGTTACGTAGTGCATCAATTTAAACTAAATGAAACTAAAACGTGTTTTCTTGGCATCTAGCTAAAAATAGTGCTAACAATTTACTTTATATATAAGCCTTTATATACAGTATAATGCATTGTAAACGTATTTTGAATGCATTAATTATGCCCTGTAATGCACCTTATAATGCATTGTAGGATCTCATGAATAATTGTAAACACAGTATCTATTTATTGTTACACCTTTAGAAAGTTTGATGCATGCACATGACAAACAAACCTTTTGCCCTGTAATGCACCTTATAATGCATTGTAGGATCTCATGAATAATTGTAAACACTATCTATTTATTGTTACACCTTTAGAAAGTTTGATGCATGCACATGACAAACAAACCTTCGAATATAATCGTGCATTTTAACTTTGGTTACAATTATTTACTGTATGAAAAGATATAATGCATTACAATGTGCATTATGAATACCTTTATAATGCTTTATTTCAAACTTTCAAACAAGGCTTTGTCGAGCCAACATCAAAGTTTGTTTACAAACTTCACTCCGCTAGTTCTCTCTATGCTTCAGTTTGTTCCTTTGTGAAATGCATTGATAATCCAGATGCGTTAGTCCTGGAAATGTGTGTCACGTTCATCACGCCTCTGCGAGCGTCCTGTTGGTCATCGGTCAGCTCTCGGACCTCTCTCTCTGTTACACAACACTAGCCTGCACATTCAGAGGGGGTTTGAGGTCTCAGAGATCTATATACTTTCGTACAGATCTCTGTTTATATGTGCGCATCGATTTACCCATCGGCGACAAATGATGCAGTCTCTATTATTAAAAGTAAATGACAGTCAGAAGGAATTATTTCGATCTTAAAGAGACAGTTCACCTCCAAAATAAAACCAAACTTATGAGGTTGTTTTCTTCGGTGCTTTCTGTTACAATGATTTTTAGTGAACCGATCCTTTAAGGTCATGTGATCAGGCGTTTGAGGGGATATTGTGTCTCGCTGCAGACGGTGTGTTTGTCAGGAGATTTACAGCTGCTAATATCGTGTGTTTGTCGGGGTTTCTCTGGCTATAAAGAGCAGCAGAGGAAGACGGATGGCGTTCTGCTCTCATAACATCTGCGATGGCTCTGCTTTTACTGTGTGTTTGTCTGCACACTTTTCTCATTGTGTCCAGTGTTTGTTGTTTTTATAGCTGCCGGTGGGAGTCGATCCGGATCCTGTTCGCAACTGACGCAGGGAATCATGGGTACCTCGAGTGTTTAATACCTGAATCCAGCTGCGCCTCATGGCATATAAACTCATTTATGATTAGGTTTTCCTCGAATCAGGCCAGAAGATCCACGAGACAACAATTACAGATCACTGTGGCTAGAGGAGGAACGTTTGTTAAAAGCATTTATAGGTCTGTGTATATCGCATTACCAAGCTGTCGCTAAGGTGCTCTGAGTGGTTGCTAGGGAGTTACTGGGCAGTGTCTAGATGTCCAGAGAAACAGATGAATCGACGGACAGATAGACAGATGCATACTTGGAAAGACTGATAGATAGACAGCTAGACAGAAGGATAGATAGACGGAGCGTTATGTAGTTAGAGGACAGATGGATAGATAGGCTGATAGATGGTTAGAGACACATGAAAGACATAGGTATAGATAGACACACATATATATACTTAGATGGATAGATAGACAGATATATAATTAGATGGACAGACGGATATACAGTATAGTTAGACGGCTAGATAAATAGATATATAGTTGGATGGATAGATACTTCAGACAGATGGATATATAGATAGATATATAATCAGACAGACAGATATTTAGACAGACGACCAAACAGATAGATAGATAGATAGGTATATAGTTGGATGGATAGATATACAATCATAGATGGATGGATAGATATACAATCATAGATAGATGGATATATAGATAGATAGATAGGTATATAGTTGGATGGATAGATATACAATCATAGATGGATAGATAGATAGATAGATAGTTGGATGGATAGATATACAATCATAGATATATAGATAGATAGATAGGTATATAGTTGGATGGATAGATATACAATCATAGATGGATAGTTAGATAGATAGATAGATAGATAGATATACAATCATAGATGGATGGATGGATAGATAGTTGGATAGATAGATAGATAGATAGAGTGCTGGTTTTTGTGCTCTTCTCATTCTGTGCTCTTGACTGTTTTCGGCTGGTTTTACTGCTCGGTTTTGCCTGCTTGTGTGAACAGAGCCAGTGTAAACCCGACCAGCTGTGCTGCTTTATATTGTGTGTTCTTGTGTTCACGTGTCCCCGCTCGTTCACCCCGTCATGACCAGATGTCACCAGTTCACCGGCACAACCCATCCTCAATGGCCTCTCTGGAGCCAAGAACCGGGTCAGGCACCAGTACAGCTTCGTGAGTCAGAACATGGACTGAACTGGCCGCGTCACACAGAAAGACCGGACTGGAATTTGAGTCGGAATGAAGCACAATCCTGTGCAGTACTGAATGAACTTTCTCTGAGTTGTGTGTCTGTGTGTTTTGTGTTCAGGTGGCGGCTCAGGCTGGAGTTTATGAGCTGTTGAATCAGTTGGGCTTCTCTGAGTTTGAGGACCTGAGAGACTCAACCCTCCGTCGTCTTCGTCACCGTTGGCAACAGCAGAACCGCCACGGGCTTCCGGTCAGAGGAGAATTCATCTGAGAAACGCTCGTGGAATCTGCAGTACTCTTGTTCATTTGCCGGACGCCCACCTGTTTTTGACCAATAGCATCCAGCAGCTGAAGTTTAAAGGACTAGATGTTAACCCCACTGTGAGGAACTTTAATGAGAACACGAGATGATCAGATGTTGCATGAATATTCATGAGCTCTCACCTGTTAATGTCATTTGTGGTTATTTTCTCTTTCTGTGCAGGTCTCTCACATCTATTATTAACCTATTTTTAATTTAACAGGACTCTTTTTACATCACATTTAGCTTAGGTGGTTATTTGACATGCGTTTGCTTGTATAGTTTATTCACTCTGTTCTTTTTTTTAACATTTGAAGGCTGCAGGAACTATGAAGTTTGTTTTATAAATGCAAGTTTTTCATGAAGACTTTCATAATGGTGGTCTCCATTAAACATCTTTCGTAACAGGAATGTGTACATTTATTGATTCTGAATCTGACTAATTTGTTTTAATAGGATTTTGATGTATTACTGAAATAAACATTAACTGATATAAAATATAGCTTTTTATTCAGCTAGTAGCAAAGACCATTTTTCTAATTTTTGTTTAGTTTGTTGAAGCGCTAATATTAAATAAACTAAAAATAAAACAAACTAAAAATTAACAATAACTATATATACACATTTAAAATAAATAATAAAAATGACAAACACAACAAAATTAATAAAACTAAAACACAAAAATATAAAAATAAAATTTAATTTAAGATGTTAACAAAAACTATAATAGTATAGCAATATTACTCAAAATAAAAAAAATACGGGCTGGTATGCTATTCCAAATGTATCCGTTCTCATTTTTTGTTCATATCAAATTATGCCTTATTTTTTTATTTTTTTTATTTTAAGTCATTCTGCATCTTTCTGCTCATTTCTGCTCTATAGGAAAAATAAAAAGTGTGTTATTCATTGAGTAAAGAAGTGTAGTTAGCAGCAGGAAGCATCTATATGAACATGTATCCATATGGGTCTTTGCATGTAAACAACAGCTATAACATATTCCTCGAAGCGTTTGGCATCTGGAGTCATGCTGCAGCGTCCTGCTGTATTCTGGGAGGTGCGGAGGAGGACATGCTGTGCATCATGGGTAGGATTAGACTCTCATTAGAGGGGCTTCAGAGGCTTGTGGTTTTTAATTGTCTGTGGAAGAGATGAGCCAAGCGCTCCTGGCCTGAAAGGGGGGTATTTTCTGTGATGTCATCGTGTGGTTGAGCCTGAATTCTGCACAGAGACAAAACACTTGCGACTCGAAGCGAAATACACTTCAGCAACATGCACTGGTGAGTTTCCCAAGTTAATCCTCACCAGTACTAGTGATGAAAAATAAAGTAATGAATTTCATTTATAAGTGCCTTTCAAAACATTTAAGGACACTTTTAACAAACTTAGTAACAATCATAAAAATACAAGACAAGCCATATAAAATATGAATGGGTGCCGTCAGAATGAGAGTCCAAACAGCTGATAAAAACATCACAATAATCCACACCACTCCAGTCCATCAGTTAACATCTGGAGAAAACAAAAGCTGTGTTTGTAAGAAACAAATCCATCATCCACACATTTTTTACTTCAAAATTAAAAATACGAGTTCGTAATAACGCTTCCTCCAGTGAAAAGGTCCATCTCCTGTTGTCTCTCACATCAAAACCCACCCACATGTTTGTTTAGAGCTGTTTGCTTGATCTGCGCAGACTGGATTACTTGTGGATTATTGTGATGTTTTTATCAGCTGTTTGGACTCTCATTCTGACGGCACCCATTCGCTGCTGAGCATCCGTTGCTGAGACACTGATGCAATGCTACATTTCTACAAATCTGATGAAGAAACAAACTTTGAGGGTGAGACTTTTTTTTTTTTTTATGTCAGTTTTGGGTGAACTATTCCTTTAATAAAATGTAATCAAATGTAATTTTCTCTTGATGAACCATAAAACAGGTGAAAAATCCCACACATGCACATTGAAGGAGGGATCTAGAGAGCAGAAGATCACAGAGACTCTTAAGAAACAACCTGGCAACCATGGCAGGTAAGCACCACTTAGATTTTCTTCAGAAACTGTTCAATCTTACAATCTTCCACTAAATGTTGCCACTTATTTTGTGCATTCTCAGACGAATGTGATTTCTCAACACGCCGGTTTCACTGATATCTGCCTGGTAGTAGCAACATTTCTTGCATGATATTAAAAATATTTCTTACAGTAACTCACTGACATAAAGGATGTGATTTTTTTTGTCCTGTTGTTTCAGAGGAAGTCCTGCAACCATGCAAACATGAGACTAACGTCTGTGAGGTGTGCCGGCGGGTTCTGCTGCAGCTTTGGGGTTCGTAAATATTCACTGATACACATAAAGTCATGTAAACATGTTCAGAGTGGTCTAGATGAGGACGATCTGATTCAGCTGACAGAACACCTTCTCAACGGTCACGGTGTTCTAGATCAATGCTTCTCAACTGGTGAAGAGCAGGAGAATGATGCAAACGATTCAGTGCAATAAACCATCTAATCGTGTAGTTAGAGCAGCTAAATAAACACTTCCTGTATGTTTTGTTGCTGGTGTCAAAGATAATGTAGTTTTGTTTACATTTGCACAATTATTTTGGTATTGCATTGAGTCCTGAAGCCAGATGATAATGCAATATTTATAATTTTACTAGCAATAACAGTTCTGGTTCTAAAACTCAATTGAAAAATTCAAAAAGGTGTATTAGTGCTGATTCCTCCTAAGTAAGATTCCCGTCCAGCACGTGGATGAAAAGTAAGGCTAGTTACCTCTTGGCTAACTGCTAGTTGGTCAAACTAGTTCTTAAGACACAGTCTTAACATATATTTAACACTATGTTTATCCAGTTGGCTCCAGATCTCTGCTCGCTCTCAGGCTTATCCCGCAGGTACGGAAGTTGTTCAGGGTTTTATCACATCATGAGCCTCTTAGATGAATGAAAATGAAACCAGAGAGCAGCAGATTGAAGCGCTTCGGTGCCAGACACTGCAGAGGAGGAGCAGAAGCCTGTTTTGCAGCTCTTCCCCTAGAATTGGGATGGCAAATGTCCCGTTCACACCAAGAACGAGAAGCATGAAAGTGCGATCACATTTACCTTTCCTCTGTGAAATTGCATGGGCGAATTCCAGTCATTTCAATAGGAATCCAGATTTCGCTCACACTCAAGTTGGTCATTCGCCTCGACGAACAGCAGAAAGCTGCGGTTTAAAAGTGACTTCTGTGTGTGTTTTGCCTCATACATTGCTACACTAGTGACTATAGAAAATTTATCTTTTTTGCCAACGAAATTTTGCCTAAATTTTGCTAATGGGAGAGGGTTTCGCCTAACACTGTATACGTAGCAAGTTTTTTTTGTGCATGGGCGAATTCCAGTCATTTCAATAGGAATCCAGATTTCGCTCACACTCAAGTTGGTCATTCGCCTCGACGAACAGCAGAAAGCTGCGGTTTAAAAGTGACTTCTGTGTGTGTTTTGCCTCATACATTGCTACACTAGTGACTATAGAAAATTGATCTTTTTTGCCAACGAAATTTTGCCTAAATTTTGCTAATGGGAGAGGGTTTCGCCTAACACTGTATACGTAGCAAGTTTTTTTTTGTTTGTTTGTTTGTTTGCTTGTTTTGTTTTTAGAATAAATTAAAAGAAACCAAGTAGACAGAATAGAAAAAGAATAGGGAATGCTAGTGTTAGAGGCTCATTTTTAAATAAAAGTAAAACAAGTCAATAGAACAGAAAAAGAATAGCCTAGATAATGCTTGTGTTAGAAGGTCATTATTTATAATAAATAAAAAGAAAACAAGTAGAAGGAATAGAGAATGCTAGTGTTAAAGGCTCTTTTCTTTTTAAATAAAACAAGTAGTTAGAATAGAAATAGAATAGAGAGTGCAAATGTTAGAGGGTCAAGTTTATTTAATTAAAACAACAAGCAGATAAAAGCATTAGAATAAAGAGTGCTAGAGTTAGAGGGTCAAATGAAGATAAAAGAGATGTAAATTGAAAGATTGAAAATGATTAAACTCAGCTTCATTCCACCAGGAGGGAACAGTTAATGAAAAAGTCCATGAAAGTTTTATCACAAGTTGAAATTGAATGCAAAATATTTCAATGCATGCATTTCAGTCAAATGTAATTTATGCAATATTTCAAACCTTTAACCCACTTGGGAAAATAAACCCATGGCAACAGTTTAAAAGTAGCCCAATTCTTTGGACTTGGCAACCTTACATCCAACAAGAGCTGCAGGAGTCAGATCTGACTGATCACAGGTCGAGAATAAGGAGAGATGACTGACAAGACCATGCTGGAGCATTTGCTGCTCAGCAGATCCTGAGCTCACTGACAAATATCTGATCTTGCAAGATGTGCTCCCTTTAGGCTACACAGAGTGCGTGTGATTGCGAAATCGAAAGTGAAAGTAAACAGCGCAAACACTCATTCTAAAGAGATTGAAATACTCTGCATACTGAGAGCGGCTTCCTGATGCACCAAAATTATACACAATATTAGAATGTTTAAAGGAATGGACACGAAAATCGAGGGAGCGAAACACATGTTGCGGGAGCAGGCGGCAATGGGCAGAAGTTCAGCGGGAGCGAGATTAAGAAAACAGCGGAATCTGGCCGGACGCATATTATAGGTCCAAAAAGAGGACATGTCCGGGGAAAAGAGGACGTATGGTCACCCTAAATGTCTTCCAGGAAGGAGTAAATGTGCGCTTGTGCTGCTGTTGCGAGCGCGGCCTACTGTATCTGCCAGCATCTGCAGATAAGCTCTTCTGAGAGCCGCTCTGTGCACGGTATGGCGGCCGAGACTTTGAAATGCCTTCCAGATCCTCTGAGATCCTCTCGGAGCTGAAACCGGAGCCGGCGCTTCAGAGAGACTTGAAGAAGAAGCCAAACAAAGAGCTGCATTGAGAGGCGAGCAGCGCTGCTAATTAAAGCTTCAGCCGTCACACTTTGACATCTTCACCATTAGAGAACCATATTCATCCAGCACCAACACACATCATGTCTGGCTTTCATGCAAGTAGGTTATACCCTTCTCCTTTCATGGCTCACACTATAAAATGACTTTATATGTTATGTAGAAACACGGCGGCTCGCTTATAGCGCCGGTGATCTGCCACTTATTAGTGAAACTTAAAATAACTAACTTAAAAGGTCAGTTTGTTCAGTCAAATCAACCAAGTGCCACTTTAGCTTCATTAGCATAATTAATTTACATATAAGAGTCATTTTCAGGAAATGGAGCCTTTTGTGTACTTACATTATTTGATAGATTTAGCTGCACATAGTACAATAAAAATAGAACTTATAATAAATTATTTTTAATGTAATTTAAAATAAAAAAGTATATTTACTAAAAGTACAATTAATAAATACAAAAATAAACATTGAGCTATTGAGCTATGGTTTATCCATGTCTGTAGTTTACACATATCAAAACTATAATCATGTATTGTATGTCTGTATTTGTATAGTTTCACTAATGTTGCTGTAATTTGGTTAAATTTTTTTATTTGCATTAATGTGCATTTTTCCTAATAAACAAACAAACAAATAAATGTAATATGTTTAATAATCATAAAAATAAGTTTGTATTAATCTTGGTTACTTTTATTAATTTATCATTATTATTATTATTATTAATAAAGTAACCATTTTAATTAAAATGTAAAACCATATTATCTACAGTTATACTACAGTAAGCTTAGTTCACTTGTTGTAAAAAACCATATTAACTACAAGATTAACCCTGGTCTTACTACAGTCATTTACTACAGTTTACTACAGTAACAGTTTATCGATGTCTATAGTTTAAACATATCAAAACTATAATATCAGCCAGTTTGCATGTGCCTAATCACCAACATTACATTGAAATGCTTGCTTTTATTGAAAACTGTGTAAATGTGTTTCTGTTCAGCCCTCTTATGTTTTCACATTTACTAACTTTTCAAATAATACTTTGATCTTTCTGATGTCACATTTAAGGGAGTGTAATCATACTTATAGTCTTTAGTATTTCTGTTGGGGTGATTGATAGTTTGGTCACTGAAAATAGTAATTGAAAACTCATATTTGTTGATGCCAAATCCGAATATTGGGTGAGAATTGAATTTTATTTTATTTTATTTTATTTTATTTTATTTTATTTTATTTTATTTTATTTTATTTTATTTTATTTTATTTTATTTTATTTTATTTTATTTTATTTTATTTTATTTTATTTTATTTTATTTTATTTTATTTTATTTTATTTTATTTTATTTTATTTTATTTTATTTTAGATGCTGTCAAATCTTTTTTTCTCCACGCAGTGAAAATGAGTGGCATCCAATGTCGTTTTGGGTACATCAGTAAAAACAGTTGAAACCTGTGTTTGGTTGAACTGTTCCTTTAACAAAGCCCTGCTTGAAAGTTGAAATGGGTTTAAAAATGGATGAAAAGTGAAGGTTGTTCAGGCCTGTTGTCCTCTGAGTACTTCACAGCGTTAAGGATTGAATGATTGATAGATAAAGCTCAGCTCAGCAGTGTAAAGAGCTTTTATCAGCCACTATGGGGCAATTATATTAAATAAAGGCTTTTAACTATAATGAATAATGATTGAGTAAGGCTCAGCATGCAGCGCTCTGAAATCTTTCATCACATGTATATGTGATCTTTTGTTCTGTAAGTGTTATTCCCTGCGGTCATTTTCTCTTTATATCAGCTCTGTCTGAATTAGCATTCATATGGTGACTAATAAATGCCAATGCATGTTTACGTGCTAATCTTACAAACGTACCTCAGAATGATGGCAGTAAACAAATTGTGCTGTTTATTGACAGTGTACTGTCAGATTTCAAAGAATTGTGGAAATGTGTCATTTTTTAGACGTTTAAATAGTTTGAGCGGGTCGCATGTCAACTTCTGGCTCAACCAATGGCATGAGTTTGGGGCGGGACTATGTGTTTAACCGACCAATGACAGACAGGGGAAGTGTTTGGGGAAACCAGTTTGAAAACAGACATTATTTTTGCAATTTAATTTGGTGATGCCAATGACACACTGAACCAGACGAGGGCTGGACGTTTCCTCTTGTCTGACTCTGATGTCTGAATCACAAACTCACATGGGACAGATCAGCATCATTTACACCGGCAAGAAGCAGAATCACTTTTGTTGGATTTTACTTTATCCCTGTAAAGCCTGACATGTGACATGATACTCAGAAAATCAGTTTTGTGAACCTGAACAGTTGATTGAACCTTTAGACAAAACATTGCATATGTGTTTTTTGTTGAGTATCATATTTGCTCCATCAGGCTTTTATGGCTCATATAGTCTAATATGGTGAGAATATGGAGGAAAAAAACAACTTGAGCAAAAATATGCAATTTGATGATGATGCTGCTTATGTAAATCAATGAGCTCTTTCTAACAGTAGAGCAGATACTGACATAAAATGCTATAAATATCAGTCGTCTCTATATCTCCAGTAATCTGTCTCAGTGAGATGAGAGTGAAATGCTCCAAACATATAATGCAGTGATGGAGAGCTGAAGAAATAAAGGCTCCTCCTCAGATGTGAGATGTTCTGGAGGCTTGTGAAGATCATTCCTCCGCTGAGGAACAGTGAAAGTAAAGCTTCTGGAAACAAACGCTCCTCAAAAGATCCTGAGGAGACTCTAAAACATGATTGATGGAGAATCAAGTAAAGCTGAGCTGCTTCAGTCCAGTAAGTGTTCATCTGGAGATATTACTGCAGTTATTCTGACCTTTACTTGATCAAAATCTGACAGCAGAAAGACACGTGAAGCTCCAGCTGAAGCTGGACATTTGTACATTATCAAGTATCATAAGCACCATCTTAAACACCATAAAGTATTATAAGATGTGTAGTAGTTTTGAATGCAAAAGAGCAGAAAGAAAACAGCATGAGATGGGAATGACGTGAAGGCCAGTAAATGATGATAAAATGTTCATTTCGGCTGAACTACTCCTTTAATGAATGACTAACATAAAACCAAGCGATGAAGCTTTCTGGACAGTTTATGCTGGACTAAACAAGCATTATAAAAGGTTGCATGTGTGATTCAGTACAGCTGGAACAAGATGATTCTGTCTGTTTCATTGAGCGCCTTAACAAGACCGGTTCACATCTGAGTCACACCTAAATCATGCTAAAATCCTCCAGGATCTGCTTTACGAGGCCGTATAGGGGATGATTGTCTATTATCAGCCAACAGAGTGTGAGATCAGGGGATTTTTTTTTGTCATCTCTCTTCTGGGGATCTGCTGGTCATCAGAAAAACCTTGTATATGTGGGAAACAGCTGATTGCATGTGAAAGAAAGAGCTCTAACAAGTGCACTAGAGAGTTCTTTTGAACTGATTTCTGATGGTAGCCGTCATTCTGTCTTGCTCTTGAAGATCATGTTGATGTTTTGGTCTATCACTAATCACAGTCTGTCCTGCTAATTAATTCAAAAACATGCAAATTGGCAGCACTGGAGCACCTGCATCCTCAGCCAGTAGGGGGCGCTGCACTTCAAACTGATTTTAAACTATTTCTGGTCCCACATTTATACTGTAAATATTAATATAAATAACGAGAGTTAATCCATTGAACAATGTCCCCCCCCCCCAAAAGTAAGATAAGCGACTATTTTTCTTACATATGCATTCAGTCAATGCGCTAAAATAATACTGCAATCAAATTTAGCAAACTTTTTCAAATTATTTTTATTCGTTTTTTTAATATTCATGTTTGGAAATGTATGTCATACAGTGAATAAAAACTTTAACATTTAAAAAAAAAAGAAAAGAAAAAAATTCCAAGCAAAAAACAAACAGACAAAAAAAAAACATTGATTTAGCTGCACTTCAAAAAGTCTTAAATAATTTAAAAATATTTCTGTTCCCACATATATAATTTAAAAGTCGCCAACAGGAGACTCGTGGCCCCTGGAGCTTTTGTTCAGTGGCAGGAGGATTTTGAGGAACAGACCAAAGAGCGGATCCTGGGAGACTGCGTGTTTACCGGGGATGTAACGGACATGCCGAGGGCCTCAGTGGCCATCAGTAACTGTGATGGACTGGTGAGTAACAGCTCACACTGGCTGTGTCTCAAAACCCAGTGAGATGTCTTCCTTGGGCATCATAAGTGTGTGCAGCTTTGTCAAAAAGTGGGGCATACAGAGTCTCGGAAACCAGTGAAATGCAAACCTAAAGCACATTTTAGTGCATAAATAGATGTACAGCATGTTTTAAAGGCAAGACACCAGGTGAATAGGGTATACTATATTATATATATTAGGTAGATAGATCAATAGATAGATATCAGCATACTTCCCCAGTTGAAATGTTATGTTTAAATACGCAAATCAGGCATTATTTAATTAAATATGCACTATTTTGCATACATTTCCAGAACAAGGAATCGGAACACTGGATCAAGCCTGGTTGAAATTTTTTGCTTTGTTTTGTACATATATTATATAGTTAAAGGTATTTACCGAGGGGATTTTGGATTTCTCTTTTTATCACTCCATAAATCAGAAAATACTGTTAATAGCCAGGATAAATACATCTTCATCGCGTTTTTATTAGTAAAATGTTATATAAACCAGGTCAAATGATACATGAACAAACACCACTGTAAAAACCTTCAGAATAATGACAGGAATAAAACTAAGTTTTGGTCTATGTAAGTGCTGAAGTGGAGAAACAAACACTTTTTTTGGGGGAGAAAACCACCTTTAGAGATATGTATTGTAACTGAAATCTATTGACGCAAATAGATAACGTGAAATGATAAAATCAGGTCGAATGATACTCTATATGAACAAACCCCACAGTTAAAACCTTCAGAATAATGACAGGAATGGAATAAAACTGTAAGTTTTGGTGTATGTAAGTGCTGCGGAAGTGGAGAAAACAACTTTTAAAGATTTGTATTGTAATTGAAATCTATGGACGCAAATAGATAAATGCTTTACAATAAACACTTAAAAGTGCATTTTGGTAGTTTTCTTTCCACTAGTCTGAAACAACACATTATGAAAAGCCAAATAGACTAATATCTCAAAATTGATATTTTATTTAAAAAAAAATTGCCTATAGTGTCTTGCCTTCATTTTTGGCCATTGTTGCATAAAAGTTTATTTTTGGGAATCATAGTTGTTCTCCACACATAGAGTTTTTGGGCATGTACTGCATAGGAAGGCTCCAAATTTGGACAGTGTTTCGTATTGCATGAAGATGCCAGGATTGCAGCTCACCAGGTTTTGGGATGCAAACATTCATTATAATGACTCAAACTGTTGTATAAATCTGAGTTTACTGATTATCCGCTGCCCTCCGGACGTGATCATCTGTCAAATGGCTGTAGTTTCCAGTCTTTCCAGCTCTTACGTAAGATTCACATGCCCACCAGCTCTGATCATACTTTCACTTTCCTGGTTTGTCAAACTAATAATGTCTGTCCGTCCCCCTTAAGTCCTTATCCGAGGGTCACAGTACACAAATTTACCCAGAGTATGACAGGATTCATTAATTTGGCTGCTGAAACAAAATCAGGGCTGTGTACCAGTCAACATCCTATCCTAACAGGAACAACAAGAGTTCTGCCTTGTTTTGTTCTCTGTCTTGCTGTCCTGAGGTTTTGTTCAGGTCACAGACTCAAACCATCCCAAATCTCCCCGAACATGCATGGATTCAGTTGACCCTTCTGACCCTGTAAACCTGATTAAGAGCACCCTTGATAGTGTGGTCATTCCTCAGAGCGTGGTCTCAAATCAAAACGAAGACTGCAGCTTCTTGCGAACTCACAGTTATGTGACGCGTCTCTATGTATGGAGGCTCATTTCTACCACGGAATTAAAAAATTGCAAGATGTAAACTGAGGATTCAAAAAATAATTAAAGAATTGCAAGATGTAAACTCAGAATTCTGAGAAAAAAAGTCAGAATTGCGAGACGTAAACTTGGAATTCTGGAGAGAAAAAAAATCAGAATTGCAAGATATAAACTCAGAATTCCAAGGAAAAAATGTCAGAATTCCAAGATGTAAACTCAGAATTCAGAGAAAATACATACATTTTGTTAGATATAAATTCTGAGATGTAAACTTAAAATTCAGAGGAAAAAAAGACCAAAACTGTGAAACAAAAAGTCTAAATTTTCATACCATGGCATAAATAAACTTCCATATGTATATGCATGTGCATTGTTGTTGTGACTGCACGACACACGCCCAGCGCTTTTGTGACAGGACATCTGTGTTGTAGTCTTCACTGTTATTAGTTTAATCAAAGAGCTTTAGGAGGCAGCCAAAATTGCTTTGCTTTTTCAGTGCAACTCAATACTCCCATCAGCAGCAGTGATTTCCGTGAGGGGCAGCACAGAGCGGATCTGTTCCTCCAGCACGTTTGCGCACACAATGAGATCATTCATTACGGCCACATTGATTACTCACTTAGGTAATCACTGTCAAGGCCGCGCAGACAATGACACGCTGTCTCCTGCGCCGCTGTCCCGGACAGATACTGCGCTAGCACAACAGCCATTCTGTGCTGTTCAAGAAAATATCATTTAGGGACGGGAAAATGAAAGTGACAGACTCCAGATGCTGTCTGGCTTGCAGCAGAAGTGTTTATTTGTGCAGCATTAATGGTTTTGCAAACTGCAATTATCAGCCAGCAAATGCATTCACAGTTTATGATGTGCATGCTTGAGAGATTCAAGGTTACTCTGTAAAATAGTTATAGACAGTCGGTTTAACCTGTTAATCACGTTGTGGGAAAGAAGTGTGAGTGTAGCTGCTCTAAGAAGCATGACAATGCATTAAGAATAACAGGTTTGAAATGTTTGTTAAAATGAGGCTGAGCATGATGTACTATTTCTACGGTATACCTTGCATAGTATGCACATGTTCAGTGTGCATACAGTTGAATACCTGCAAAACTTGCTATATTTGTCTTTATGTGCGTATCCAACAGTAAGAACTGTATCCCATAATGCACTTGACTTGACCTTATACATTAAGCACAATTAATGAACTGGAAGTTGCGTTACAAACTGTGATCTTTATTATATTTTCACCATGCAGACATTTTTAAGCCAGATTGGATTTCAGGAATGCATTTGAACAATTTTTAATTAAATAAATAAAATCTACTTTCAGAATCAAACAAGCATGTAATTAGGTCATGTGACAACAATGTAGCATACTAATTTTTAAAATGCACGTTTCATATAGTATTTTGAAGTTGTATTCAGCATAGTACAGTAAGCAGTAGACTAGTGTATTGCATTCTGAAATTATCACAGGTTTCTTTTATTATAGTGCATCAGTAAAGTTTGAAACTCTAATTTGTTTCATTGATTAACCAGGTGGTGATATTTAGTATTTTCATCCAATAGGGGCTCAATTACATTCAAATCGACCCACTGTGGGAAGATTGCAGCAGTTTAAAGTGACTGAATGCAAACAGTTGTTTACTAAACTCAGCATCTTGTACTAGGAAATGTGTTGTTTTGGCACGCAACATGCTCACTGCATACTGGCACCATTGCTGATCTTTGCAACAACTGATGTAAACTTCAAGGATGATATATAATTATGGTCTCATTAAGCAGCAGCGAAGGCAATGTCAAGCTGTTTGTGAGTTGCGCTTGCATTGAGACCCCGATACAGCAGGTAAACGAACCACCTGCGCACCGCAGTAATGAAGACTTAAGGACAGAAGCACTTCTGATAAATATGTGAACAGACAACATTTATTGTGGCACTGAATCTCTGAAGCGTACCAGACATAATTATGAAAGCTCTGGCAGACATATGTATGAGGTGGTCCAAATGTCTCTCTGAAGTCTTTCTCACGCATCTCATGTCTGCAGCCTGCAAACGATGCATATTTATTTCAGACCATGCATGTAGAGTTTTGGTGCTGAGGCTATTCATACTGTGTGCAAAAACAGTGAAAAGCCCTGTAGACCAATTTATGGACAAGCTTTTGCAATATAGGCTTGTATGAAGCAACATAATGAACTGCTGTGGCTCTAACAGTGTGGCAAATGTGTGTTCCATTCAAACAGGCCAACAATTTAACTTGCTCAGTAAGATTCTCTTCAGTCTGTGGCTTCGCCATGACCATAGTTGAGCTGAAAGAGAAAACTTACTGTAAAAGACTTAAAAGGCAGTGCTTTTGTTGCTTTATGACTTGCAGTCTGACACATTTCAGAATGCACTGAAACACAAAATCGATGTCACAAAGCTAGATGCATTTGTATTTCACATACTTTTCTGTATGTTTTAGGCCTTTTGTTGCAAATGCAAAATGCATGAAATACTTCTGAATAAAGAATAATGTCAAATCTTAACATTGCAAACATGCTGTAAAATCTGGTTGTTTCTGACAGCTGCACTGCATGCATGTTCACAAGCCGATATCGATCAGCTTGGTTGCTCTTATCCACAGTCTGTCAAACCCAACCTCATTCAAGCTGACCATACAGGATCCAGTACAGATGACTACTGTATATCGATGGAGTGCATCGATTGACATAAACAGCCCCCACATTAGAGCTCTTATGCAATGCAGAGGATGTCATTTGAAGGTTTGTTTGCTTTATCTGCCTCCATCCAGCGGGTTATCGGACACACGGTCGCTGATGGAGGTCCATGTGCTTCTAAACGCGCCCTGCAGAAATGCAGACAGCTGCTCTCAGCATGGGCAGAGATAACTGTAATCACTGCCTTAATGTGGCGCATTTGAAAGCACATCCTTGAGGATTTATGAATAGCGGGGTGTCCCCTTCAAGCCTATGAGGTCATTGGTATGGCACGGATCAGGCGGGAGAGGAAGCACGACTGTCACGGTAAAGATAGATCAGCTGCCGAGCATGTGTGCCAACATCAACACCGGCACGTCTTGTCTTGCAGGGTCTGCGTGTCAAAGAGCGTCCCCCACCCTACAAACTGCAGGCCGCAGATTCATACAGTTCACTGAAAAAATCAACATGCAGACAGTAATGAATGCTCACCCAGATGCACCGAGCGTGCAGGTTTTAAAAGTTTGCTGTGCATGTGTGTAAGC